GATCTATTTCTTGCAATCGCTAAAGTTGCAACTCAGAGTGAAGTCGAGAATCTTTTGACGGATCCATGTGAAGAGTTACATCTAACTACAGAACAGCTGATGGAACTGAGCAAATGGAAAACTTGTGGAAAGGTTTGAAATTTTAAAATCTAAATTTACTTCATTGATTTTGTCGTAAGGTGTTATTTTATGAACGAGGGATTAATTCCCTCATTTTCAATCCGTTGCCAACTTGCTAACACTTCATTCAACTCACCAAGATATTTTGTTAAATACAAGAACACCTGGATAAGAGAAGCAACATGTTAACAGAGGTTTGGCTAATATATTTATTTCAGCCACAGAGATAATTCCTTCATTATTAATATTTTATGTCTACTATGTTTATGTCTTCTAAGTGTCATAAGTAGACACAACCGTGAGTTACGTTGATGAAATGCAATTAAAATGACCCAACATTTTGAGAATTCAAAAAATGGAGCCCTCATGAGCAAATTTTGAAACTTTCAATAAAAAAAACTAAAGGTACAAAATTGAGTCTTAAACCAACTGTTCTGATTATTTATTATATTCAAATTTCACCACAGGACTTGTACTCATGTTAGCTATATTTTTTGTGTTCTTAACAGAATTTATAACATCATATACTATCACATCTTCAATCCATAGAATTTATGGTTATTTTAGGTCATGTTGAGCGTTGTATATGCAGCCTTTCTTTTCATATTATTTCCTAAATCACACAGATTCACACTCTCGATGTTCGAAACAACTCTAAGATCACATTCGATCTATTCCTTGCGATCGCTAAAGTTGCAACTCGGAGTGAAGTCAAGAATCTTCTGACTGATCCATGTGAAGAGTTACATCTAACTACAGAGCAGCTGATGGAACTGAGCAAATGGAAAACTTGTGGAAAGGTTTGAAATCTTAGAATATAAATTTATATTATTGATTTTTTCATAAGGTCATATTTTATGAACAAGACAATCATTTCTTTATTTTTAATCTGTTGCCAACTTGCTAACAATTCATTCAACTTATAATTATTAAAGACTTGAATCCACAACCCAAATTTCTTGATTGAAAAGTGGCATTATATATTGTTAAAACTGGAACGACACGCGACATTTTCTCTGTATGCGATGATTTTAATATAATTAATGTAAAGTGTATATCAAATAATTTTTTATTGCAATAAAATAAATTCCAAGTATTCGTATTTTGTAAGGTAACCACAGGTAACATTGAACACAATTAAGGTGAGCCATTAAACGCATCAGTCATGGATCGCGCACTAATGAATTATACGCATTGACTCTTTAACGCCGACCTTGGGATTTTGGTAACGGCAACATCTTATTTTAAAATAATCTCGAGTGCTGAAAGAACAAATCAAATTTCACGAGTCCCAAGATTGCAAAAATACAATTCCAATCTATTTAAAGTTGGCAGTATTTTATGTTATTTCAGAATAGTACCTAATCTTCAGTCATCCGAATAGTAATCTCGAATCAAAGGCGAATAATGAATACCACAATTAAGTTATTATTTCAAGACATTTTAAATACTCGCATCGGTCATGGATTGAATACTTTACTCAACAGAAAACTTGTTATCTGCTGAAAAAGTCTTTTTAACAGAGTGGCCCAACCATGAAGAAAGTTGCGCGGATATGTCGGATCAAATTTTGAACTCTCCTCCCTTTTAAGAATCCTGGCTGTGCTCCTGTTTATAAATAATGTCATACTTGACCCGCTTTGTTGCCATATTTCGAGAATACTGTTGTCAAATGTTATTTACGCTGTTATTACTTATTTGGACAGTTACAAAAATAGCCAAGTCATTATTTTGAGAAGTAATTGCATAGCTCACGGAGCGCCTACGTTTGCCTCGTGCAGCGCTGGGCTCCGTATGAAGTACTTTGATAACCAATGCTCTAAATCACACAGATTCGAACTCTTGATGTTCGCAACAACTCCGAGATCACATTCGATCTATTTCTTGCAATCGCTAAAGTTGCAACTCAGAGTGAAGTCAAGAATCTTCTGACTGATCCATGTGAAGAGTTACATCCAACTACAGAGCAGCTGATGGAGCTGAGCAAATGGAAAACTTATGGAAAGGTTTGAAATTTTAGAATCTAAGATTATAGGATAATTTTTTTTTATTAGGTGTTTGTCTTAGAACGATTAAATATCCTAACATTTGTGGTGGATACAAAAATACTTGTCTATCAAGATCATGCAAAGTTTCATCTTCCTTCTCCTTCAGTTTGTTTGTTTAATTTATAATGTAATCAGGCAACATAAGTTGGTGGCACCCAGCAAAATATTTTAAAGGAGGAATATTGGCATTTTTCTAAAATTTATCAATATCTACATTATAATTGAATTATTTTGTAGTAGGAAAAGCGTCAATTTTGACTCTAGGTTTTAAAAATGTAATTGAATAATATCGTCGACACACACGAGGCACCATTGTGGCCTTTCATCTCTACATTTTGGTCAATTTATAACGTTTTTGTAAAAGCATGGAGACTAATTTTCAAAAAACATTGTCCGGTGGGGTTCAGAAAAAGTCATATGCAAAAATACCAGGATAGTCCACTAGAAGTACTTGCAGTATTATGCTATTCCATCTATCTTTCAGTAAATACATTATGCTTGTTTAAATCCTTGCTATGATAGAAAACACATAACGCCAGATAGGATAAACTCAACACCTCATGCAAAATGTGTGTTAGTATATGTAAAGATAAAATCTTGTAATTGCTTATCTAGAACTTTGATCTAATTTGAAAAAATTATTGATGAATATAGAAATTTTTTTCACCTGTCCATCGCCCATGTAAATTATTAGGCGTCATTTAGTGTGGCAATGAACTGTCCTATCCTTGTATAAGAACACATCTTGTATGGAGCCTTCTGAAATTGGAATATCAAGCCATTACTCGCTGTCTATACATTGTCAAAAATAATTCTCAAATTAAATAATATGTACCAATATTTTTATTCTTTGTTCTGCATTTAGACCTCGATAAAATTATATTGTTTGCTTATTGAGAGGAAAAATAGAAGTCCCTTTATTTTCTGATAAATTCAATTTAAAAATTTATTTATGATGTCATGATATATTTTACAAAAGTGTTTAATACACATTATGACAACATAAATCCAGCCCTGACAGTTTCCTGCATTTAGTCTTTGACCAAATCCCACCTTATGATCAAGCTTATCATGATTTGTCACTGACCTTATTTATTCCAGTTGGATAAACTAGATGTCAGTGGCAACAAGAACCTTGGCACTGCTGGTTGGAGTGAAGTTGGAAAAGTTGTTTTGCAATGTCAGGTGGAGGCATTTGAGGCTCGGAATTGCAATCTGACAGCAGAAGGCATGGAAGCTTTCAAGGAAAACACTGGCAATGCAAAGGTAAAGTTGCCGAGATTGAGTATTTTCTGGAATCGATCCCAATTCAACAAATCCTTAATTGTTCGATTATTTTAGGTTGTTTATGGAACTAAGATAATTAAAAAAAAACAAATATTAATATTTTGCTGCACAGACAATTTTCAGTCAAATATGGGTTTTTTAAATATTTAATATTGGAAAATACGAATAAAAAAAACTTTATTTCCAAATTCCATCGAATGCAAATTATGTGGACGTTACTCACCACCCATACACTAGCAATGCAAAGGTAGAAAGCACATCATTTCTTTTTTCTCATTAAAACTGTATGATCACACTGTTAAGAAAAATATGCCAAGTCACTGTTATTTTATTGTACATGAATGTCAATATTTGCTAAATATAAAAACTACCGACGACATAATTGTTTGATTTGAGCTAAAGCTATTTGTTTGATTCTAAGATTATACGATAATTTTTTTTTATTATGTGTTTGTCTCAGAACGATTAAATATCCTAACATTTGTGGTGGATACAAAAATACTTGTCTATCAAGATCATGCAAAGTTTCATCTTCCTTCTTCTTCAGTTTGTTTGTTGAATTTATAATGTAATCAGGCAACATAAGTTGGTGGCACCCAGCAAAATATTTCAAAGGAGGAATATTGGCATTTTTCTAAAATTTATCAATATCTAAATTATAATCTAATTATTTTGTAGTAGGAAAAGCGTCGATTTTGACTTTAGGTTTTGAAAATGTAATTGAATAATATCGTCGACACACACGAGGCCCCATTATGGCCTTTCATCTCTACATTTTGGTCAATTTATAACGTTATTGTAAAAGCATGGAGACTATTTCTTAGAAAACATTGTCCGGTGGGGTTCAGAAAAGGTCATATGCAAAAATACCAGGATAGTCCACTAGAAGTACTTGCAGTATTATGCTATCCTATTCCATCTATCTTTCAGTAAATACATTATGCTTGTTTAAATCCTTGCTATGATAGAAAACACATAACGCCAGATAGGATAAACTCAACACCTCATGCAAAATGTGTGTTAGTATGTAAAGATAAAATCTTGTAATTGCTTATCTAGAACTTTGATCAAATTTGAAAAAATTATTGATGAATATAGAAATTTTTTTCACCTGTCCATCGCCCATGTAAATTATTAGGCGTCATTTAGTGTGGCAATGAACTGTCCTATCCTTGTATAAGAACACATCTTGTATGGAGCCTTCTGAAATTGGAATATCAAGCCATTACTCGCTGTCTATGCATTGTCAAAAATAATTCTCAAATTAAATAATATGTACCAATATTTTTATTCTTTGTTCTGCATTTAGACCTCGATAAAATTATATTGTTTGCTTATTGAGAGGAAAAATAGAAGTCCCTTTATTTTCTGATAAATTCAATTTAAAAATTTATTTATGATGTCATGATATATTTTACAAAAGTGTTTAATACACATTATGACAACATAAATCCAGCCCTGACAGTTTCCTGCATTTAGACTTTGACCAAATCCCACCTTATGATCAAGCTTATCATGATTTGTCACTGACCTTATTTATTCCAGTTGGATAAACTAGATGTCAGTGGCAACAAGAACCTTGGCACTGCTGGTTGGGGTGAAGTTGGAAAAATTGTTTTGCAATGTCAGGTGGAGGCATTGGTGGCTCGGGATTGCAATCTGACAGCAGAAGGCATGCAAGCATTCAAGGAAAACACTGGCAATGCAAAGGTAAAGTTGCCGAGATTGGGTATTTTCTGGAATCGATCCCAATTCAACAAATCCTGAATTGTTCGATTATTTTAGGTTGTTTATGGAACTAAGATAATTAAAAAAAAACAAATATTAATATTTTGCTGCACAGACAAATTTCAGTCGAATATGGTATTTTTAAATATTTAATATTGGAAAATACGAATAAAAAAAACTTTATTTCCAAATTCCATCGAATGCAAATTATGTGGACGTTACTCACCACCCATACACTAGCAATGCAAAGGTAGAAAGCACATCATTTCTTTTTTCTCATTAAAACTGTATGATCACACTGTTAAGAAAAATATGCCAAGTCACTGTTATTTTATTGTACATGAATGTCAAAATTTGCTAAATATAAAAACTACCGACGACATAATTGTTTGATTTGAGCTTCCAGTCAGTTTCACTTCCAAATAACCAAGTTTCTGATTTCTGGTTCCTTTAATTATTCTTACAGCAAAATTAAAGCTACATTCTGACTATTATATTACAAATAGTGTGAATTTGGTAGATTCACTTTAGCTCTGGCGCTGTCGATGAATCTGCAAAATGTGGTTAAAGTCACAAAAGTTGGCGGAGTCGATCATGAAGCGAACTTCACCATGTTCTTGTCATGAATCTATCAATAAGATTTTTCTCTACATTTCACAACCTCCCATTATTAGGTTGAACCAGATTTAACCAGTAAACACGATAAACTTGAATGTCAGCGCTGGGAGTAGCCAGTCGGTTACTCGATTACCTGTTGCAGATGGTTATCTGTTAATTAATTTTGATCAGTCGTAAGAGTAAGAATCACATTTTATGTAAAATCTCATAATAAAAATTTCTTTGCAGTTGTTTGTATGTTGTGGTCTTTTGTCACTAATTAACTTCAAATAAATGTAATAATTACCTTCAGAGACTATGCTTGTTAGGGTCAGTGAAGGCTAGTACAAATGACTGAGGGGTCAGTGAGACAAACTATCTGAAATATTGAATAATCAAGTATTTAATGCAGAAGGTCCTACGATTGGCAGACCCGTAATTGTCTTGGAGTTATGCACACTACTGTCATGTCTTATAATTTTATGGGTAATTCAGTTCATGTTTGTATTAGCATAAATAAGCAGCTCTTATTTATATGTAATTGTCCAAATTATACAGATTCACACTCTTGATGTTCGGAACAACTCCAAGATCACATTCGATTTATTTCTTGCAATCGCTAAAGTTGCAACTCAGAGTGAAGTCAAAAATCTTCTGACTGATCCATGTGAAGAGTTACATCCAACTACAGAGCAGCTGATGGAACTGAGCATATGGAAAACTTGTGGAAAGGTTTGAAATTTTAGAATCTAAGATTATATGATAATTTTTTTTTATTATGTGTTTGTCCCAGAACGATTAAATATCCTAACATTTGTGGTGGATACAAAAATACTTGTCTATCAAGATCATGCAAAGTTTCATCTTCCTTCTTCTTCAGTTTGTTTGTTGAATTTATAATGTAATCAGGCAACATAAGTTGGTGGCACCCAGCAAAATATTTCAAAGGAGGAATATTGGCATTTTTCTAAAATTTATCAATATCTAAATTGTAATTGAATTATTTTGTAGTAGAAAAAGCATCGATTTTGACTTTAGGTTTTGAAAATGTTATTGAATAATATCATCTACACATACGAGGCACCATTGTGGCCTTCCATCTCTACATTTTGGTCAATTTATAACGTTTTTGTAAAAGCATGGAGACCAATTTTCAGAAAACATTGTCCGGTGGGGTTCAGAAAAAGTCATATGCAAAAATACCAGGATAGTCCACTAGAAGTACTTGCAGTATTATGCTATTCCATCTATCTTTCAGTAAATACATTATGCTTGTTTAAATCCTTGCTATGATAGAAAACACATAACGCCAGATAGGATAAACTCAACACCTCATGCAAAATGTGTGTTAGTATATGTGAAGATAAAATCTTGTAATTAGGCTTCCCGCTGCTTGTCAGCAGGGAACCTATTGTATTCCTGTGTTTTATTATTATTATTAGGCTTCCTGCTGCTTGTCAGCAGGGAACCTATTGTATTCCTGTGTTTTATTATTATTATTATTTATTTATTATTATTTATTTATTATTATTTATTTATTATTATTATTATTTATTTTTATTATTTTTTTTTCAAATTGGTCCTACAGACTTGAAATTCACCTCAAATGTGCAGAAGTTCTCAGCTAGCAATAAAATGCAAATTTTATGCATGACTGACCACGCTTTCACGCTCCAGTGAGCAAAACGCGTCTTCGGTTTTTTTGCGATTTCTCAAAATTGATACATGCTATTGGGTTGAAATTCATAACAATGATTAATGGACATGTTCCGGATACGATATGTCAAGGATACGCATGAGTGACCTCGGCGATACGCTCCAGTGAGCAATATAGGATTTTACATTTTCATCTTCTTCTCGAGAACGACACCACTCAGAGACTTGAAATTTACATCACATGCAGATAATAAGTCCCCCGTCATAAATTGCAAATTTTATGCATGACTGACCACGCTTTCACGCTCCAGTGAGCAAAACGCGTTTTCAGTTTTTTGCGATATCTCAAAATTGATACATGCTATTGGGTTGAAATTCATAACAATGATTAATGGACAGGTTCCGGATAAGATATGTCAAGGATACGAATGAGTGACCTCGGTGATACGCTCCAGTGAGCACTATAGGATTTTACATTTTCATCTTCTTCTCGAGAACGACACTACTTAGAGACTTGAAATTTACATCACATGCAGATAATAAGTCCCCCGTCATAAATTGCAAGTTTTATGCATGACTGACCACGCTTTCACGCTCCAGTGAGCAAAACGCGTCTTCAGTTTTTTTTAAGCGGGAAGCCTGTTAAAGCTGCACGCAGCTCTAGTTTATTATTAGGCTTCCCGCTGCTTGTCAGCAGGGAACCTATTGTATTCCTGTGTTTTATTATTATTTATTATTATTATTATTATTATTATTTTTTTTTCAAATTGGTCCTACAAACTTGAAATTCACCTCAAATGTGCAGAAGTTCTCAGCTAGCAATAAAATGCAAATTTTATGCATGACTGACCACGCTTTCACGCTCCAGTGAGCAAAACGCGTATTCAGTTTTTTTGCGATTTCTCAAAATTGATACATGGTATTGGGTTGAAATTCATAACAATGATTAATGGACATGTTCCGGATACAATATGTCAAGGATACGCATGATTGACCTCGGCGATACGCTCCAGTGAGCAATATAGGATTTTACATTTTCATCTTCTTCTCGAGAACGACACTACTTAGAGACTTGAAATTTACATCACATGCAGACAATAAGTCCCCCATCATAGTTTGCGAATTTTATGCATGACTGACCACGCTTTCACGCTCCAGTGAACGAAACGCGTCTTCAGTTTTTTTTACGCGGGAAGCCTGTTAAAGCTGCACGCAGCTCTAGTTATTATTTTTAGGCTTCCCGCTGCTTGTCAGCAGGGAACCTATTGTATTCCTGTGTTTTATTATTATTATTTATTATTATTATTATTATTTTTTTTTCAAATTGGTCCTACAAACTTGAAATTCACCTCAAATGTGCAGAAGTTCTCAGCTAGCAATAAAATGCAAATTTCATGCATGACTGACCACGCTTTCACGCTCCAGTGAGCAAAACGCTTATTCAGTTTTTTTGCGATTTCTCAAAATTGATACATGCTATTGGGTTGAAATTCATAACAATGATTAATGGACATGTTCCGGATACGATATGTCAAGGATACGCATGAGTGACCTCGGCGATACGCTCCAGTGAGCAATATAGGATTTTACATTTTCATCTCCTTCTCGAGAACGACACTACTTAGAGACTTGAAATTTACATCACATGCAGATATTAAGTCCCTCATCATATATTGCAAAGTTTATGCATGACTGACCACGCTTTCACGCTCCAGTGAGCAAAACGCGTCTTCAGTTTTTTTTACGCGGGAAGCCTGTTAAAGCTGCACGCAGCTCTAGTTATTATTATTTTTTTTTCAAATTGGTCCTACAAACTTGAAATTCACCTCAAATGTGCAGAAGTTCTCAGCTAGCAATAAAATGCAAATTTTATGCATGACTGACCACGCTTTCACGCTCCAGTGAGCAAAACGCGTATTCAGTTTTTTTGCGATTTCTCAAAATTGATACATGGTATTGGGTTGAAATTCATAACAATGATTAATGGACATGTTCCGGATACAATATGTCAAGGATACGCATGAGTGATCTCGGCGATACGCTCCAGTGAGCAATATAGGATTTTACATTTTCATCTTCTTCTCGAGAACGACAATACTTAGAGACTTGAAATTTACATCACATGCAGACAATAAGTCCCCCATCATAGTTTGCAAATTTTATGCATGACTGACCACGCTTTCACGCTCCAGTGAGCAAAACGCGTTTTCAGTTTTTTTGCGATTTCTCAAAATTGATACATGCTATTGGGTTGAAATTCATAACAATGATTAATGGACATGTTCCGGATACGATATGTCAAGGATACGCATGAGTGACCTCGGCGATACGCTCCAGTGAGCAATATAGGATTTCACATTTTCATCTTCTTCTCGAGAACGACACTACTTAGAGACTTGAAATTTACATCACATGCAGATAATAAGTCCCCCATCGTAAACTGCAAATTTTATGCATGACTGACCACGCTTTCACGCTCCAGTGAACAAAACGCGTCTTCAGTTTTTTTTACGCGGGAAGCCTGTTAAAGCTGCACGCAGCTCTAGTTGCTTATCTAGAACTTTGATCAAATTTAAAAAAATTATTGATGAATATAGTAATTTTCTTCACCTGTCCATCTCCCACGTAAATTATAAAGCCTCATTTAGTGTGGCAATGAACTGTCCTATTCTTGTATTAAAAGGAACACATCTTGTATGGAGCCTTCTGAAATTGGAATATCAAGCCATTACTCGCTGTCTATACATTGTCAAAAATAATTCTCAAATTGAATAACATGTACCAATATTTTTATTCTTTGTTCTGCATTTAGACCTCGATAAAATTATATCGTTTGCTTATTGAGAGGAAAATAGAAGTCCCTTTATTTTCTGGTAAATTCAATTTAAAAATTTATTCATGATGTCATGATATATTTTACGAGAGTGTTTAATACATATTATGACAACTTAAATCCAGCCCTGACAGTTTCCTGCATTTAGTCTTTGATGATCAAGTTCATCAAAGTCCTACGATTGGCAGACCCGTAATTGTCTTTTGAGTTACGCAAACCACTGCAAAAAATGTAATCTAAAGTGGACTGGTGGAGAGATTTTTGATTTTAACAAACTACTATTAAAATCTTGTCTCACTCTTTATCATTTTTAGCTCGTGCTTTAGACTTCAAGATAACAACTCGTCCTTCTTATGTATATGATAAATATATCATTTACCGTCATGTCTTTATAAATTTCTGGGTATTTCAGTTTATGTTTTTTATTAGCATAAATAAGCAGCTCTTATTTATATGTAATTGTCCAAATTATACAGATTCACACTCTCGATGTTCGAAACAACTCCAAGATCACATTCCGTTTATTTCTTGCAATCGCTAAAGTTGCAACTCAGAGTGAAGTCAAGAATCTTCTGACTAATCCATGTGAAGAGTTACATCTAACTACAGAGCAGCTGATGGAATTGAGCAAATGGAAAACTTGTGGAAAGGTTTGAAATTTTAAATTCTAAAATTATATTATATTATTATATTCTTCTTCAACATGATCAGTCAACATAAGTTGGTGGCATCCAGCAAAATATTTCAGAGGAGGAATATTGGCATTTTTTTTGATTTTATTAATATCTACATTATAATTGAATTATTTTGTAATAGAAAAAGAGTCGATTTTGACTCTAGGTTTTGAAAATTGAATGAATATGTATGACAAACACGGTGAACCATTGTGGCCTTTCATCTCTACATTTTGGTCAATTTATAACGTTAATTTATAACGTAAGCCTTGAGATTAATTTTCAGAAAACATTGTCCGGTGGGGTTCAAAAATGACATATGCGTCAGATAGGATAAACTCAACACTTCATGCAAAATGTGTGTTAGTATATGTAAAGATAAAATCATGTAACTGCTTATCTAGAGCTTTGTTCAAATTTCAAAATTCAAAATTATTGATAAATATAGAAATTTTCTTCACCTGTCCATCGCCCATGTAAATTATTAAGCGTCATTTAGTGTGGCAATGAACTGTCCTATCCTTGTATTAATAAAACCACATCTTGTATAAAGCCTTTGAAATTGGAATTTCAAGACATTACTCGCCGCGTAAACGTGGTCAAAAAAAAGAATTCTCAAACTAAATGATAACTAAATGTTTTTATTTATTGTTCTGCATATAGACTTTGATAAAATCAAAAGTTCAAATTTAAAATTTATATTGATAAATATAGAAATTATCCTCACCTCTCAATCACCCATGTAAATAATTAAGCCTCATCTAGAGCAGTAGTTCCAAAACCTCATTTTCACCATCACCATTTACAATATTTTCAGTAATTTATATAACTTAATCGACTCCCCTATCGCCTCTACACCTCGAGCGTAGATTATAAAATTAATTCATGTCAAAACCGCCATTCTGTCGTTATAATTCATTGAAGCTTCGCGGGCTGGATTATTGTACTTGAGCATCATTTTCGCCCCACGATGCACAATATCGCCCACTTTGAGAATCATTGATCTAGTGTGGCAAATAACTGTCTTATCATTGTATTATTAAAACCACATCTTGTATGGAGCCTTTTGAAATTGGAATTGCAAGACAATACCTGCTGTCTATACATTATCAAGAATAATTCTCAAACTAAATGATAACAATGTTTTTATTCTTTGTTCTGCATATAGACTTTGATAAATTCATATTGTTTTGCTTATTGGAAGGGAAAATAGAAGTTCCTTTCTTCTCTGATGAATTCAATTTGAAAATTTATCCATGATGTCATGATATATTTTACAAGAGTGTTAATACACATTATGACAACATAAATCCAGCCCTGACAGTTTCCTGCATTTAGACTTTGGCCAAATCCAACCTTATGATTAAGTTTATCATGATTGGTTCACTGATCTTATTTATTTCAGTTGAATAAACTAGATGTCAGTAACAACCGTAATCTTGTCACTGCTGCTTTTAGTGAAGTTGGATTGGTTGTTTCAAAATGTCAGGTGGAGGCATTGGTGGCTCGGGATTGCAATCTGACAGCAGAAGGCATGAAAGCATTCAAGGAAAACACTCTCAATGCAAAGGTAAAGTTGCCAAGATTGAGTATTTTCTGCAATCGATCCCAATTTACCAAATACTGAATTGTTCGATTTTTTTAGGTTGTTTATGGAACTAAGATAATAGAAAAACAAATATTGTTAATTTGCTACACAGAAAAATTTCAGTCAAAACTGTTAATTTTAAATATTTATTATTGATAAATACAAATATAAAAAAACTTCAATTTAAAAATCCATTGAAATCCAAATTATGTGGACGTTAATCACCACCCATACACTCGCAATGCAAAGGTAGAAACAAATCATTTGTTTTGTCTCATTGGGAATGAAACCTAAAAATGCACTTTTGGTGGATTAAAAGAGTATTTTATATACTTGAGCATGGCCCATACTCGACCTTGTATAAACAAATATAGATTCAGATTTTACTCCTGAAAACTGTATGATCACACTGTGAAAAAATAGGGCAAATTTACTGTTATTCCATTGTACCTGAATGTTAAAATTTGCAAAACATGAACCTATTTTCCATAATCAGAATCGGATTGAAACTAACTTTATAGCTCAATACGGGCAAGCACTGGAATGGCAATACATGAATATTTTCCCAAATATCTGCCGCAAGCAGAATAGTTTTATATTATTGAATTCTCTGGCGTATCCCAGCTGATCTTAATTAACATGTTCTACAGCCAAACCATTGCATTCTATCCCAGGATCCTACCAGACTTCTTATCTTTGGTTCAAGTCATTGTAATGCTTTCTCAGCTATATTGAAAGAAATGCACAAAATTCATGGAATTACATTGCTGTGTTCCCTGATAATATTATTAATTGAAGTTTTCAGTCAGTTACATTCCTAAACCTCTGGGCTTTCTCATTTCTGGTTTCTATTTTATGCTAACACAGCAAAACCAAACCTATATTTTGACTGAATCCGATCATTCTTGCCAAGTAGGCATTGGTATGATGTCCTGGCGGAATCCCGTGCCCCCAACCTCACCCTGGGTGTAATAAATAGACTAGGCAATGCCAAATCAAAAGATTATGATGCTTGCATAGGGAATTGTGTTCTCCAGTACAGTACCTTCTTTGGAGTGACAGCGAGAATAAGCGATTTATAGAAAATATTTCATTGAAAATTCAGATGGTTACTGCACAAACCAGACTATGTTGAATATCTCAGGTTAAAACCCCAAAGCCCCACCATCTCACACAGGGTGTGATAAATATAAAGCTTTTTGTCCTTCAGAACATAGTTGCCCAGTATATGTTATTGAGTAAATTAACAAGGCAAAGTGTTCGTATTTTAGTAGATTTATCTAGCTGTAGCTTATAATAAGTCATTCCGCTATTGCTTTGGTTCTGTGGGTGAATCCACAAAATGTGGTTGGAGTCGACCTTGAAAAGAACCTCACTACTTTCATGTCATAAAACCTGCCATTGAGTCATTACCTAGCAATTCATGGAATTTGCTTGTACAAGCAAATACTTTATCATAGATTCGCCAACATTGGTGTGGATTGATCAAAAATATTGAAAAATATATTCTAAAAATATCGACTGTTAATTTTCAACCGATCCAAATTCTGTAAACTTTACCCACTATTGGTACATGGCCATAGATAATTCTCAAATCAAATAATATTTAACGATGTTTCTACTTCATTGACTCTCTGTGTCCTGCATTTAGTCTCTGGCAAAATCCAACCTTATGATCAAGTTTATATCATGATTGGTTCTCTGATCCTATTTATTTCAGTTGGATAAACTAGATGTCAGTAAAAATGGGTATCTTGACACTGCTGGTTTCGGTGAAGTTGGATTAGTTGTTTCACAATGTCAGGTGAAAATCGTTGATGTCTCATGGTGCAATATGATGGCAGTAGGAATGAAAGCATTCAAAGAAAACACTCGCAATGCAAAGGTAGGAAGCAAATCATATGGTTTTATTGGGAAGGAAAATAAGAGCGAATTTCTGGTGGATTGAAAGAGTAAAAGATCATTGTCAAGCATGGGCCAAACATTACCTTCTTCAAATTTGGACTTTATCAATGGCCCATACTCGACTTTGTTTAAACAAACAGATTCTGAATTTTCGATCAAACTGCATAGCAAAATTGAGAAAACTTTATTGTTACTAAACCTTAAAATAAATAATAAAAATCCGCACGTGGTTTTTTTCCTTATAAAAATAATCAGAAAAATCTTCTGAAATATTGTTACATATTGCTTTTTTGAATAGCCAGCAGAGCTCCTAGGTTTCTCTCAGAGCCTTTCTCTTTTGAGGACCTAACCACTGGAATGGCAATAACTGAATATTTTTCCAACATTAGCTGCAAGCAGAATAGTTTTATATTATTGAATTCTCTGGCGTATCCCAGCTGATCTTAATTAACATGTTCTACAGCAAAACCATTGCAATATATCCCAGGATCCCACCAGACTTCTTATCTTTGGTTCAAGTCACTGTAATGCTTTCTCAGCTATATTAAAAGAAATGCACAAAATTCATGGAATTACATTGCTGTGTTCCCTGATAATATTATTAATTGAAGTTTTCAGTCAGTTACATTCCTAAACCTCTGGGCTTTCTCATTTCTGGTTTCTATTTTATGCTAACACAGCAAAACCAAACCTATATTTTGACTGAATCCGATCATTCTTGCCAAGTAGGCATTGGTATGATGTCCTGGCGGAATCCCGTGCCCCCAACCTCACCCTGGGTGTAATAAATAGACTAGGCAATGCCAAATCAAAAGATTATGATGCTTGCATAGGGAATTGTGTTCTCCAGTACAGTACCTTCTTTGGAGTGACAGCGAGAATAAGCGATTTATAGAAATATTTCATTGAAAAATCAGATGGTTACTGCACAAACCAGACTATGTTGAATATCTCAGGTTAAAACCCCAAAGCCCCACCATCTCACACAGGGTGTGATAAATATAAAGCTTTTTGTCCTTCAGAACATAGTTGCCCAGTATATGTTATTGAGTAAATTAACAAGGCAAAGTGTTCGTATTTTAGTAGATTTATCTAGCTGTAGCTTATAATAAGTCATTCCGCTATTGCTTTGGTTCTGTGGGTGAATCCACAAAATGTGGTTGGAGTCGACCTTGAAAAGAACCTCACTACTTTCATGTCATAAAACCTGCCATTGAGTCATTACCTAGCAATTCATGGAATTTGCTTGTACAAGCAAATACTTTATCATAGATTCGCCAACATTGGTGTGGATTGATTAAAAATATTGAAAAATATATTCTAAAAATATCGACTGTTAATTTTCAACCGATCCAAATTCTGTAAACTTTACCCACTATTGGTACATGGCCATAGATAATTCTCAAATCAAATAATATTTAACGATGTTTATACTTCATTGACTCTCTGTGTCCTGCATTTAGTCTCTGGCAAAATCCAACCTTATGATCAAGTTTATATCATGATTGGTTCTCTGATCCTATTTATTTCAGTTGGATAAACTAGATGTCAGTGGCAATTGGGTCCTTGGCACTGCTGGTTTTGGTGAAGTTGGATTAGTTGTTTCACAATGTCAGGTCGAGGTATTGGCGGCTCTGAATTGCAATCTGACAGCAGTAGGAATGAAAGCATTCAAAAAAAAACACTCGCAATGCCAAGGTAGGAAGCAAATCCTAGGAAGGAAACTAAAAGTGCATGTTTGGTGATATATGAAAGTATTATATGAAAATCAAGCATGGACCAAACAGTACCTTACATAAATACTGGGCTTTATCAATGGTCCATCATCTACCTTATAGGTATAAGGTGTATAAACAAACCGATTCTGAGTTTTTCATGGTGGAAGCTAAACCAAATCCTTATTGAAACCGAATATTCTTGCCAAAGTGGGCATATGCACGAGGGCCTCATGGTTTAAAGCATTAAACCCAACTCTGTGGGCAGGTAGGTTACACATACCATTTTAAAATCCCATGTCTACCACCACACAAATTGTGTGATATATTTTGACTATGCGATGCAAATCAGGAAGATTCCACTTCTAAAATACAGTAGATTCTTACATATTGTTAGGTATCAGAGGTCACTTTCACAGAATCTTATTCGGGGCTAAAATAAGCATTTCATATAAAAATTATTTTAGCAAGAATATCTTGGGCTCAAACCCCATGACCACGATCTCACACAGGTTGTAATAAAATTGAAAACTTTGGATTTTGCAAAACATGGTTAATGGTTTAAGGCAGTGGTTCCCAACCTTTTTACCCTGGCGGACCGGTAAAATTAAATTAAATGTACTGGCGGACCGGCAAAAATTGGAATGTTCGGAACAGAAAAGAGTAACATATATGTGCCTAATATAATGCAATGTCGGGCACTCAATATGCTTTTAGACAAAAAAGGCACACTTGAAAACATTTCACACGAAGAAAAACTATCAAATATTGTGTCGGCCAAATATTGAAATAGGTGAAACATAAAATAATACCATATATTTGCGTAATGAAATGCAGTGTTGAGCACCCATTATGCGTAAGAAAGGCACACATAAAATATCTCACATAAAAAAAAACATGTACATGCCAAATCATGTAAAAACACAATTAACTCTAGTTAGAATCTTGCTGTTGTTTCGTTTTCAATATAAAACTGCAAACGAGGCCTCAAAGAAGTTTCTGCAACACGTGGCTCTGCAGCAGCGTGTAGCCGATTTCTGTGCTCCGTTTTATTCAAGTTTTATCTTTTTCATCGGGTTCATCATATTAATCCCTCTGCAGTTGACCGACGGCTCAAACGACATGAATTTACATTACAATGTCAAAGTCGTCGGTAACTTGACAAGTTGGCACCAGGATCAATCCTACTGTGTCTGCTCAAAATACTGGAAAAGATCTCAGCGGCCCATGCTTTTTTGCGCATCTCGTGACCACCTGCAAGGTCGCACCAAGTTCATATGTTACTGGGATATTATACTGTTTTTTTCTGTTTTCTGGTTCAAACAAAGAAATATGCATAACGTTTTATATGGATTGTCATATTAATCAGGAAAAGCATGCAGAACAGGAGAAGCACGCCTGCCGATTTTTAGGTTTCTGAATCTTGCGAGATTTGATGAAGCACATTCGCGATAAATCGCAGCCAAAAAAGCGAAAAGTGTGATTACTCGGCGCCAATATGTCGCGAAAGACGTCGCCAAGATGTCGCAATATGACGACGGAAGAGAAATTGCGCAATAAACAAACGCAACCTCGTCTTCGGTGAAGCGATTGAGACGGCATAAAAACAACAAAACAACGAAATTTCTTGCGGACCGGCAAAAAAGCTTTGCGGACCGGCACCGGTCCGCGGACCGGCCGTTGGGAACCACTGGTTTAAGGAACCTAATTGGGCAATGAGCGTTTATTTTAGTAGGTTCATCTTGCTGTAACTCATCTAACAAGTACTTATGCTAATGCTCTAGTTCTGTGAGTGAATCCACAAAATGTGGTCGGAGTCGGCCATGAAGAGAATCTCACCATATTTTATGTTATGAAACTTGTCATTGAGTCATTAGCTAGTAATTCATGCATGGTTTGTCAAACCTCTCTGAACAAGGCTTGTAAAAGCAAATACTTTATCATAGATATGCCATCGTTGGTGTGGACCTTTCGAAATACTGACTGATAATTTTCCCTGATCCAAATTCTATGAACCCACTATTGATATGTGGTCATAAATAAATAACAAGTTCTACGATTCTACATTATGATCAAGTTTAACATGATTTGTCACTGATCATATTTGTTTCAGTTGTATGAACTAGATGATATGTTAGTATATGTAAAGATAAAATCTTGTAATTGCTTATCTAGAACTTTGATCAAATTTAAAAAAATTATTGATGAATATAGAAATTTTCTTCATCTGTCTATCGCCCACGTAAATTATAAAGCCTCATTTAGTGTGGCAATGAACTGTCCTATTCTTGTATTAAAAGGAACACATCTTGTATGGAGCCTTCTGAAATTGGAATATCAAGCCATTACTCGCTGTCTATACATTGTCAAAAATAATTCTCAAATTGAATAATATGTACCAATATTTTTATTCTTTGTTTTGCATTTAGACCTCAATAAAATTATATTGTTTGCTTATTGAGAGGAAAATAGAAGTCCCTTTATTTTCTGGTAAATTCAATTTAAAAATTTATTCATGATGTCATGATATATTTTACGAGAGTGTTTAATACATATTATGACAACATAAATCCAGCCCTGACAGTTTCCTGCATTTAGTCTTTGACCAAAATCAACCTTATGATCAAGTTTATCAAAGTCCTACGATTGGCAGACCCGTAATTGTCTTTTGAGTTACGCAAACCACTGCAAAAAAATGTAATCTAAAACGGACTTGTGGAGAGATTTTTGATTTTAACAAACTACTATTAAAATCTTGTCTCACTCTTTATCATTTTTAGCTCGTGCTTAGACTTCAAGATAACAACCCTTCCTTCTTATGTATATGACAAACATATCATTTACCGTCATGTCTTCATAAATTTCTGGGTATTTCAGTTTATGTTTTTTATTAGCATAAGCAGCTCTTATTTTTATGTAATTGTTCAAATTATACAGATTCACACTCTCGATGTTCGAAACAACTCCAAGATCACATTCGATCTATTTCTTGCAATCGCTAAAGTTGCAACATCTAGTAAAGTCGAGAATCTTCTGACAAATCCGTGTGAAGAGTTACATCTAATTACAGAGCAGCTGATGGAATTGAGCAAATGGAAAACTTGTGGGAAGGTTTGAAATTTTAAAATCTAAAATTATATTATATTATTATATTCTTCTTCAACATGGTCAGTCAACATAAGTTGGTTGCATTCAGCAAAATATTTCAAAGGAGGAATATTGGCATTTTTTTGAACTTTATTAATATCTACATTATAATTGAATAATTTTGTAATAGAAAAAACGTAGATTTTCACTCTAGGTTTTGAAAATTGAATGAATATGTATGATACACACGAGACACCATTGTGGCCTTTCATCTCTACATTTTGGTCAATTTATAACGTAAGCCTTGAGATTAATTTTCGAAAAAAAACATTGTCCGGTGGGGTTCAAAAATGACATATGCGTCAGATAGGATAAACTCAACACGTCATGCAAAATGTGTGTTAGTATATGTAAAGATAAAATCATGTAATTGCTTATCTAGAGCTTTGTTCAAATTTGAAATTTTTATTGATAAATAATGAAATTTTCTTCACCTGTCCTTCGCCCATGTAAATTATCAAGCCTCATTTATTGTGGCAATGAACTGTCCTCTGCTTGTATTAATAAAACCACATCTTGTATGAAGCCTTTTGAAATTGGAATTTCACGGCATTACTCGCCGCCTATACCTTGTCAAGAATAATTGTCAAACTAAATGATAACAATGTTTTTATTCTTTTTTCTGCATATAGACTTTGATAAAATCATATTGTTTTGCTTATTGGGAAGGAAAATAGAAGTCCCTTTCTTTTCTGGTGAATTCAATTTGAAAATTTATTCATGATGTCATGACATATTTTACAAGAGTGTTAATACACATTATGACAACATAAATCCAGCCCTGACTGTTTCCTGCATTTAGTCTTTGACCAAATCCAACCTTATGAACAAGTTCATCATGATTTGTCAATAACCTTATTTATTCCAGTTGGATAAACTAGGTGTGAGTGGCAACAAGAACCTTGGCACTGCTGGTTGGGGTGAAGTTGGAAAAGTTGTTTTGCAATGTCAGGTGAAGGCATTTAAGGCTCGGAATTGCAATCTGACAGCAGAAGGCATGGAAGCTTTCAAGGAAAACACTGGCAATGCAAAGGTAAAGTTGCCAAGATTGAGTATTTTCTGGAATCGATCCCAATTTAACAAATCCTGAATTGTTCGATTATTTCAAGTTGTTTATGGAACTAAGATAATAGAAAAATAAATATTATTATTTTGCTACACAGACAATTTTCAGTCCAATAAATAAATTTTTAAATATTTATGATTGAAAAATGCAAATAAAAAAAAATTTCAAATAAAAATTCCATTAAATGCAAATTATGTGGACGTTACTCATCATCCATGCCCTTGCAAATACAAAATGTATGATCGTGCAGCGGTGTGGCAAAATGTGTGTTAGAATATGTAAATATAAAATATATATAAATATAATATAAAATATAATATAATATAATAAAATAATAATAATATAAAATAAAATAAAATATATATAAATAAAATATAAAATATAAAAAAAAAAATAAAAAAAAAATAAAAAAAAAAAAAAATAAAAAAAAAAAAAAAAAAATAAAAAATTATCTAGCTTTGTTCAAATTTAAAATTTTTATTGATAAATGTAGAAATTTTCTTCACCTCTCCATCACCCATGTAAATTATTAAGCCTCATCTAGAGCAGTGGTTCCAAAAATTTATTTTTACCATCACCATTCACAGTAATTTATACAACTTCATCGCCTCCCCTATCGCCTCTACATCTCGAGCGTAGATTATAAAACTAATTCATGTCAAAACCACCGTTCTGTCGTTATAATTCAATGAAGCTTCGCGGGCTGGATCATTCTACTCCGCGGACCGGATCTGGCCCACGGACAGTAGGTTGCTGACCCCTGCAATTCGTGAACTACCTAGTGGTGGGGAGGACTCCAGCCATTTTATTGTTTTGTGATTATTGCCTACAGGATTCAAACCTGCGAACGCACGCAGAGTACAATAATCAAGTGCACGCCGAAGAAAAGAAAAGGTTTTCGAAATCGTCCTATCTCTCCATTCGGCTTTTTCGCCACCTTGAGCATCGTTTTCGCCCCACGATGCGCAATATCGCCCACTTTGAGAATCACTGATCTAGTGTGGCATCGAACGGTCTTACCCTTGTATTGATAAAACCACATCTTGTATGGAGCCTTTTGAAATTGGAATTTCAAGACATTACTTGCCTCCTATACATTGTCAAGAATAATTCTCAAACTAAATGATAACAATGTTTTTATTCTTTGTTCTGCATATAGACTTTGATAAATTCATATTGTTTTGCTTATTGGGAAGGAAAATAGAAGTTCCTTTCTTCTCTGGTGAATTCAATTTAAAAATTTATCCATGATGTCATGATATATTTTACAAGAGTGTTAATACACATTATGACAACATAAATCCAGCCCTGACAGTTTCCTGCATTTAGACTTTGGCCAAATCCCACCTTATGTTCAAGTTTATCATGATTCGTTCACTGATCTTATTTATTCCAGTTGAATAAACTAGATGTCAGTGGTAACAAGAACCTTGGCATTACTGGTTTTGGTGAAGTTGGAAAAGTTGTTACACGATGTCAGGTGAAGGCATTGGTGGCTCGGGATTGCAATCTGACAGCAGAAGGCATGAAAGCATTCAAGGAAAACACTCTCAATGCAAAGGTAAAGTTGCCAAGATTAAGTATTTTCTGCAATCGATCCCAATTTACCAAATACTGAATTGTTCGATTATTTTAGGTTGTTTATGGAACTAAGATAATAGAAAAACAAATATTAATATTTTGCTACACAGAAAAATTTCAGTCAAAACTGTTAATTTTAAATATTTATTATTGATAAATACAAATAAAAAAAACTTCAACTTAAAAATCCATTGAATGCAAATCATGTGGACGTTAATCACCACCCATACACTCGCAATGCAAAGGTAGAAACAAATCATTTGTTTTGTCTCATTGCGAATGAACCAAAAAATGCACTTTTGGTGGATTAAAAGAGTATTTTATATACTTGAGCATGGCCCATACTCGACCTTGTATAAACAAATATAGATTCAGATTTTACTCCTGAAAACTGTATGATCACACTGTGAAAAAATAGGGCAAATTTACTGTTATTCCATTGTACCTGAATGTCAAAATTTGCAAAACATGAACCTATTTTCCATAATCAGAATCGGATTGAAACTAACTTTATAGCTCAATACCGGCAAGCACTGGAATGGCAATACCTGAATATTTTCCCAAATATCTGCCGCAAGCAGAATAGTTTTATATTATTGAATTCTCTGGCGTATCCCAGCTGATCTTAATTAACATGTTCTACAGTCAAACCATTGCATTCTATCCCAGGATCCTACCAGACTTCCTATCTTTGGTTCAAGTCATTGTAATGCTTTCTCAGCTATATTAAAAGAAATGCACAAAATTCATGGAATTACATTGCTGTGTTCCCTGATAATATTATTAATTGAAGTTTTCAGTCAGTTACATTCCTAAACCCCTGGGATTTCTTATTTCTGGTTTCTATTTTAAGCTAACACAGCAAAACCAAACCCATATTTTGACTGAATCCGATCATTATTGATTAATAAGATATTGGTACGATGTCCTGGCGGAATCCCGTGCCCCCCACCTCACACTGGGTGTAATAAATAGGCTAGGCAATGCCAAATCAAAATATTCTGATGCTTGCATAGGGAATTGTGTCCTCTAGTACAGGACCTTCTTTGGAGTGACAGCGAGAATAAGCGATTTATAAAAAATATTTTATTGAAAATACAGATGGTTACTGCACAAACCAGACTATGTTGAATATTTCAGGTTAAAACCCCAAAGCCCCACCATCTCACACAGGGTGTGATAAATATAAAGATTTTTGCCCTTCAGAACATAGTTGCCCAGTATATGTTATTGAGCAATTAACAGGGCAAAGTGTCTGTATTTTAGTAGATTTATCTAGCTGTAACTTCTAATAAGTCATTCCGCTATTGCTTAGGTTCTGTGGGTGAATCCACAAAATGTGGTTGGAGTCGACCTTGAAAAGAACCTCACTACTTTCATGTCATAAAAGCTGCCATTGAGTCATTACCTAGCAATTCATGGAATATGCTTGTACAAGCAAATACTTTATCATAGATTCGCCAACATTGGTGTGGATTGATCAAAAATATTGAAAAATATATTTTAAAAATATCGACTGTTAATTTTCAACCGATCCAAATTCTGTGAACTTTACCTACTATTGATACATGGCCATAGATAATTCTCAAATCAAATAATATTTAACGATGTTTCTACTTCATTGACTCTCTGTGTCCTGCATTTAGTCTCTGGCAAAATCCAACCTTATGATCAAGTTTATATCATGATTGGTTCTCTGATCTTATTTGTTTCAGTTGGATAAACTAGATGTCAGTGGCAATTGGTTCCTTGGCACTGCTGGTTTTGGTGAAGTTGGATTAGTTGTTTCACAATGTCAGGTGAAGACATTAGAGGCTCGGAATTGCAATCTGACAGCAGAAGGAATGAAGGCATTCAAGGAAAACACTCGCAATGCAAAGGTAGGGAGCAAATCATTTGGTTTTATTGGGGAGGAAGAATTTCTGGTAGATTGAAAGAGTAAAAGATTATTGTCAAGCATGGGCCAAACATTAACTTCCTCAAATTTGGACTTTATCAATGGCCCATACTTGTCTTTGTTTAAACAAACAGATTCTGAGTTTTCAATCAAACTGCATAGCAAAATTGAAGAAAAAATTATTGTTACTAAACCTGAAAATGAATTTTAAAAAAATCCGCACGTGGTTTGTTTCCTTATAAAAATAATCCGAAAAATCTTCTGACATATTGTCACATATTGCTTTTTCGGACAGCTCGCAGAGTTCCTAGGTTTCTCTCAGAGCCTTTCTCTTCTGAGGACCTAACCACTGGAATGGCAATACCTGAATATTTTTTCAACATTAGCTGCAAGCAGAATAGTTTTATATTATTGAATTCTCTGGCGTATCCCAGCTGATCTTAATTAACTTGTTCTACAGCAAAACCATTGCAATACATCCCAAGATTCCACCAGACTTCTTATCTTTGATTCTAATCGCTGTAATGTTATCTCTGCTATGTAAAATGAATTGCACAAATTTCATGGAAATACATTGCTGTGTTTCTTGAAAAATTTATTAACAGAAATGCTTCGTGCTGGTTACATTGTCGTTCAATCAAATTTTCCAGTTTCAGTCCCAAATCACCGTCTTTTCTGATTTTTGTTTTATTTTTTTATGTTTATAGCAAATCCTATCTCATATTCTAACTAAATAAAATTGCCCAACTATTAGAGGGAGGCTTTTCACATTCCTGGGCATCATGTCCCAGTGATCAGTACATTCAGTCCAACCTGGGATCAAACCATATTGGCATTGCAGTTTGATAATCTCAAGTTCAAATCACATCAACACCCAAAGTGTAATTGAGTTTATGAAATTTTGCTTTCCTTTTGCCTTTTAAACACATAGCAGTTCCATCAAAAATGTCCTATGGATTCGTCGTACTTATACTTTTAAATTTTGCTGCTCTATAACTCTATTGGTTCTTCTTCTTTTTTTAAATGACAATTTTTATAGTTAATTTAAATTTTAGCGCGTTCAGTGCATATTTTCAGGCTTGCGAAATAATAAAACCGATTACTGATAATTTTCCCAGTGGGTTTGACTTAATCTCAAAATAGTCTTATTAGGGCTGTAGACACTGAGCTATATTAAGAACAACTCTGCCTTTTTTGTGTAAAAAAACAACGTCTTAACATTCGCTTAATAAGTTCCATCATAAGTCAGTGATTATGACAAACTTTTCCAACCACCAAATCAACTGTTTTTTCAGATAATATTCTTGGATCTGAGTGGGAACAATGTCACCAAATTCGGACTTGAATGGTTAACTACAATGAGTGAAATTGTTCATCAATGCCAGGTTAAAACATTGAAGATGAGGAATTGTTTATTTACTAGAGATCAGTTGATAAGGTTCAAAGAATTGATCGCTGATACAGAGGTTGAGTTCATTGATGCTCTGTGATAAAATTTGATGAGGTAACACAATAAAATCAATACCCAAACTAACCAAAAGGGAAAATGAACCATCCTGTGAAGACAAGGAGTCTAGCAATTCTTTTACACATGGTTGTAACAGATGATGCGGTAAATGCATCACGGCAACCATTGAGGCTGGTTGAAGCCATAAATAGTGCATTGGATGAAAGTCTGATGTTCCTGGTATTTACTGACATCTCTAAATCACTGATAAATAGATATGTATCGCATCTGTGGGTGTTTACATTTTTTTTTATCAGCAATCACTTCTTGCAAACTCGCTTAGAGTGAACTTATAACAAACCTAATTTATTTGAAATAACATGATATTGATTTTTCATGTTGAATTACATTGTAACAAGAACGTAACTTCCAACTCGTAAAAATCTGATTGGTTACTTCATTCAGTAGAATGTGCTTCATCATAAGCTCTGTACAGTATCTTATTTATGTATATTTTTCTTGGTTTGATTTGCTTATTGTAATCTTCTATAATTTAATAATTATGTGTTACTTTATTGAATGCCTGTATTTCCAGAATTATTTTTTCATAATGTGAAGGCAATAATAAATATTAATTAAGGTGGGCTGAGTTTTTGCAAACTAGCTTTGAGTCAACTTATAAAAAACTTTTCAGTGATTTATCTCAAAGAACATAATTGTTTTCCCTTAAACATACTTTAGCGAGCACTCCAGCAGTGTGTGTACCAATATGGAGGTAATTCTGTTCGCCTATTTTACATCAATTTGTGTAAAGGGACTGAAACCTATGGGCAGTTGGATATTCACTTGGCTAACATTGGCATACCCAGAGCTCGTAATATAACTAAAAGAAGAAAAATGGGAATACACATACTTTGGGAGTACCCTTTAGTGTTGGCAAACAATATTGAAACTAATATTGTCATTGGTATCTCTTATTCAGTTTTTTATGTAATCTTTCCTAGTTATTATTAATATTTATGTATATTTTAGATTTTCAGTTATATGAGTAAAATGTCTATTGTTTTATCTTTAATTTTCACTTTCTGATTTTTTCCATTACTGTTTGATCCATGTAAGATTGTAGTGATAAAATAGCCATGTGTTTATTTTATATAGTATTCCTGTTGTTGCCATGACAGTTAATTATTATTTCACTCATTGATTGGAAAAGTATGAAAATAAGTTCTGGGATATTCATCAATATCTGCACTCAGAACAAAAAAAGCAATTATTTATAATTTTGTCATTCAAGCTTGACTGACTTATTGTTGCCCAAGTCGAAAAATTCCTAATGCTGAAATTCAAAAAATTCGATCAAAGTGTCCATTAATATTATTCTGTATTTCCAAATTATTCCCTTTCTCTGATTGATAATTTTTTCAATATTTTGCTCTATTCCCAGGATAGTAAATTGTTTGTGAACATTTCCATTCAAATCTCAACTGGGAAGTATTATGTGGGGAAACCCTGCTATGTCACTGAGACCCTGAAATAAAACTCAGAATGGACTGTAAATTCAATGTGAAATAGTTAAATTGTATAGTAATTCCTATCATATAAATTTCATAAGAACATTTCTGAATTATATTATGATTAAATATCATTCGACCTTAATTCTCTGGGCATCACCAACATCTGAGTTTGCTTTCAAGTAGATATGCAAATGAGTGCAGAGTGGCAAATAAAGCAAAGATCATTGTTTGATTTGTATTTGTGCTGAAAAATATTTCATGATTTATTTTGATTTTCATAATAATTCATGGCGAGAGGGAAGCCGATAAGACGACACAGCCATATTTACCAGTTTCAGGTTGGAAAATAGCTGAACAATTATACATTCCAGATGCATAAGAATCTTTTTCAATCAACATAGCTTAAGATGAGTCTAAATCTGTGGCCCCTAGTAATAACTTCAGAACTTATGACCCCTGTTCTTCTGGTGACGCATTTATTTTAGATATTTTATGTCCCATATTTTAGACTAAGAATCCAATGCAAAAGATGTTTCCAAGAAGACCTTTTTAAAGGACCCCATTTGAGAAACCCTGCCATAAATGTTTGGGTATGATTGTCAATTTGCAACAATGATTACAGCAATCATATCGCATATTATCATCTGCTGACATAGGATTCAAACCCGAATGGCCTGTTTTTGGTACTAACCAATGAGCCAATGTCAAAATTGTTGTTTTTGCTTTTTACTCAATTATCAATTTTGTATCGGGTGGATTTTCATTATTTTATTGCTTTGTAATTCATAATGTATTCAAAAAGTGTGCTTATTGTGTATGGACCATGTTTAATCAGTATATATAGAGCAGTTTTCATGTAGAATTTAGATTTCAATAAACCTATTGTTGAAACATATACTTTATGATGCGTTGTCTTGCTATATGATTAGTATAGCCAGTTATTAGAGCATTAGTGCCAGCCATGTTGGCATTGCTAAATACCATGCCCACCACATCATTCAGAGTATTTTTAAATCGGTAATCAATCTTGAACCTGAAATATTCTGATCTTCCAAATATGGTGAATTCTTAGATCTGTGGTCGAACCCCAACGGTATTCCGCGAGCTTCGGTTGAAACCCAACATTCCGAACAATTAAAACCAGGTGAACATCAAGGTGCCAGGGTAACAGAAAATTAAACCATCTTTAGAGGATGGAGTATCACTTTATTGTCCCTCAACACTGATTGGAATTTCAAATTTTTTTGGCAAACTTGTAACCACTATAATTATGGTGTAACTTTAGATACCAATATATTTAGTCTCGAGTTAGAAGTCACTGCCAGGTCCATTAATAAAGCGTTTACCAGAGCGAAACAGTAAAGTGGTCTAAACGGGGGAAGTATGGATAGCTGCGGTGAACTATACTTGTTTTGCAGAAAGACATTATGATATATATATACATCTGTTTTAAGAAACCTTTATCGAACCCCTGGAAAAACTCTACCGAACCCAGGTTAAGAAACACTGCCTTAAATATATCAGCGAATGCTTGTACATAGAGAGGATGCATCTCACAAAGATACTGCAGCTGACCATGTACATTCATAACCCTACCATGGTGAGGAGTACCGCACATAACATTATCTCCCATATGATTCGAACCTACAGAGCCACAATTCCTAACCTTTAGCAGATTCACCAACTTCTTTTTAAAGATGATAGCGAGTGGGAAAAGTTTAATGAGAGTGGGATTATCACCCACAATAAATGCTCTTACCAATCAAAAGTATTCAGAGAGATTTATCTCGAACAGGGTATTCAGTATTCTATAAGCAGGATTGCAGAGTTGGAACTTGGCATGTTTTTAATAGATTAATTCAAACCACCTGGAGTCGAAATTTTATACAACTGACAGTCTGAAGTTTTTTAGAGACAACCCCTCAATAAATTTAAGTTGAGCCTTACTAACAGCCAACTAAAGAAGTCTAACAAATGACAAACTTTTCATTTCAAAAACCGATTTTTTTTATTCAGAGTCGAAATTTTGTCCTAACGCAGATTTGGGTATCTGAACCAAATTTTTACCGAAGTTTACAATAAATTTTCCTAGAAATCTCAGCACTACAAAAATCTTTTTTCCTGCTCGGTGGTGTGGCACATCATGACAAGCTATTCCTGAGAAATGCTGGGCTTCTTATCGCTGGCTAAATAATAATTCAGTCTCCGGAATGGACCGGTGACCTGACAAGAGACCGTGGTTCGACATATGATTAAGCCATCTTATTTTTTATCTATGAGATAAATATGTAAATCCAATCCAAATAGCCTTGGCACACCCACAGAGTAATTTAAAAAACAACCATTGTTACATCACAATTTATTTCAGGATGATGTGACAAGAATTCATGCAGTCGCAGCCTTCGAAGGTTTCTGGCTTTTCAAAATCGCACTTGCACGTCTCACTGCTGCCATCTTCAGGTCTTTCCTGTACCTGAACAGTATTTAAATTATTTTAATATCACGCTTGTTGTCTATTAGCCCTAAAACTTGCATCTGCATGATTAATCGGCATTATAACAGATACGCGATATATATAGGACCATGTCGGCATAAGACACAGTTGTGCGAAAATGTGCGACAAAATGACAGTTCGGAATCGCTAAAGTAATACCAGTACAGTACAACACACAAGACAGAGGTACAGCAAAATGACAATGTTCAGGTCCATGTCTCCCTGAAAGTTTAAAGATAAAACTCAGGCTTCAATGAAAATATGCTACACAACTTTGTGTGCAACATCATAATGAATAGGCATATTTCAATGTGAATGGTTTCGAAATTCAAAAACTTAGTTTGAGACTGAGAATATCCAGGTTATAGGAACACTGGCTCACAGGCTACCTTGCCACATTTAGAAATTCGACCTGAACTTACCGATTCTTACGGACTGTACGTCTGATCGATCTCAATGACCTTCTCCAACCCCGGTTCAAGGTCACTTTATGAAGAGATGTTTTAGGTTTTCTGTAACCTGCAAGAATATATGAAATATTGCTAAATAACGTACTAGCATTTCAGTTGGAAAAAAATTTAATAGGGCCAGTGTTAATCCAATTACCAATAAATACAGGATTTGTGAATCTCAAAACTACACAACTAAGAATTATTTAGTTTCTCATTGGGGCAGACATTGGCTAAACAGTCCCATAATAAAAATAGAATATGTGACATTGAAAAAGGTTCACCATCCCTCATATAGAAATAAGTGACTTCCTCAAATCGAAATACTTATATGATATCATACACCAGCTCAGATATAGACTTTGCAACGCAACGGGATTGGAATTGCTCGAAGGTACCAGATTAAACGACATTCCAGAAGTATGTGCACCAAGATGGCGGACACCGGAACGTCGTATGTGTACTAGGTTAGGGCTAGGCCATAATTTTATTTCAATTTTCCTTATTTTAGTTTTATAACGAGTTGGGTGACTAGCCAAGTGACTCTCGTAGTATTTGTACCTAAAATGTTGGCCTAACCCTAACCTATCGGTGTCCGCCATCTTGATGCACATACCTCTAGAGCAGTGTTTCCCAACCCGAGTCCGCGGTCTCAAATGAGTCCGCGGAGCGTTTGAATGAGTCCGCAGCGAGCCAGAAATTCACTGCGGACTGCAAACATTTTTGCTAAACTTAATTATCAGCCAAGTTACGATTTAAGTTAGATATGACATAAAACATAAAAGGCAAGTTTATTCACATAACAATATTCGAAACAATAATTACTGTTTAATGAGTAGGACTGGACATATATTCGAATACTCAACTATCAGAATAGCAATTTACTATTCGAAAATTTGGTAACAGGTGACGCGTCGCCTGATCAAACGATTGGATTTCACAACTCACTTGCGGATTTCCGACGAAAACACGAGTCTGCACACGCTTCGATAGATATCTTAGTGGTGTTTTCTCGCGAGTTCGAAGAATGAGGAATAAAAAAAAGGAATGAAAAGCGGCAATACAAAATACTAAAAATAAAACAGAGAACACCATAAGTTTTGTTTTATGATGTCCGCAACCGAATAAAAACGCTTTTTTAGACATTGCAAAACGCAAAATTTCGGGTGCTACTCAGTGGTGGGATTCAAATTTATTGTCAGGCGGTTCCATCACAAAAGTCATATTTTCCGGCCGGTTCTGTTACATGTTTTTTTAGTAAGGCTTACCGGTTCGCTGATTTCATAAAATTCCGTGAGACGGTTCTATAGAACCGGTGCGAATCGGTTGCGCCATAAGTGTTGTACGAACAGCTCAGATTTGTAGAATTCACAAAAATACGAATCAAAACAAAATATAATCGGGCACTACCACGCGTTGCTTTTATTTCGTCAACACAACTGCAGATTAAAATCATCACAATTAAATTAATAGTGAAGCAAGGCGATGAATTTGTATTTTTAATTTACTAATATACTTTAAATATATTTTTAATAAGTGCTAAATCAAGTTGTACTTACTGGAACTTTATAGCAGATAGGATTTTTCTAACGGCGATAACAAATTCGCAAGATTGCAAAAAATATATATCAAAACTAAATATAATCGGGCAATAGTATTCTCACATTATTATGTTCGCAGATTGCCGTGGCATTTTGAAGAAGTAATGCTTACATCTTGTCGTAAGTCGACGCAATCGTGAGTTACCATGAACACAATTAAATTAAAATAGAAAGATATTTTAAATTGTCGTCGTTGTTATGGATTGAATATTGTGCGACGGAAACGGCCATTATACACTAAAAAAGTCGGCTCTTTTAACGAGCACGTAATTGCTCCTTCACACGGAGTACGGTTGCAATAAACGCACCTTGAGTCCGCAAAGGTTTTCGCCGGTGAGAAAAAAGTCCGTGACCAAAAAAGGTTGGGAAACGCTGCTCTAGAGCAAGATCAAACTAAATTAAAAACTCTATTCATGGGCCGCACACCATTCAAAATTGTTACTTATTCGTGAGTCGCACAGTTCATTTGTGGGCCACATTTGGTTCACAAGTTGCACACCCCTGGCATAAAAGATCAGTGGTGATTGTTTTAACTGTGTTGGCATCACAGATTAAGCAAAGATCTCGGGTCTAAATCCAATTAACACTATCTCACCCAAGGTGTAATAAATTGGGCAATGCTGAACCAGAAAGATTCCGGTTCTATGTGTGAGTGGCTGATCATACAAAGTCTTATTCAGGATGAAATGTATCAAGCAAGCCTTACTATAAAACTCACCCACACAAACATGAAAACTACAAAAAAGCAGTAGTCAAGATAGAATTTGCCAGACGACCACCCGTACTTAGATGTAAAGAAGACCTGAGCTCTCTCTGAGCCAAACTTGAGAATCGGTCATCATCCTAACGTTTACACCAAAAGCAGCATTTGTCACACGAGGGCAATATTGAGCAAACGCATTAAACTTAGGTCAAACTCACTTCCTTTTTTCTTGGTTACCAGGACAACCCCCTTGCCCTCGGGATCCGCTTCCACTCCGACAGTTTTTTTGTGAATGAGACCGTTGAATCTAGAAAGATGGAAAAGTTACTGATCAGCATTGTCAGGAAAGCACGTGTCATAGGCTTGACTAGAGTTGGACTTGTCTAAATGGAATGGACAACTAACTGCCAGTGAGACTCAACTCGAGATTCGAATGACCTGTAACCCTGAGTTGAGGAACTTCTAACCAGCACTATGAAGTACCGTATATGATCGCGTATAGGCCGAGTTTAAAACTCAAAAAAAAAGTTGCCCAACTAAGGGACCGTCTTATGCGCGCATAACTCAGATAGCACCAAAAAATCGGCTCCTTCGCGCATCGAGACTTTGATCACGCAACGAAATGATATAATGCTGACTTGCCGGTAATTGCAACAGCTACAGACCATGCTTAATTCTCACGATAAAGAGCGTGCACGCACACACCACACACGCGATCGCTTGTCTAGGTGTGATTGTCTGATCATTAACGTGACCGCTTGTATTTGATTAAATTTAATTGTATCTTTTGCATAAGAGCAACAGCATTGATCTACCAGCCGTCTCGTGGTCAAAACGTTATCATTTGTGCACAAGTAAGAATCAGATAGAAGTTTCAGGTAGAATAATACTCATAGCATTAATTCTTAACAATAAAACTGTAATTTCAATCATTTTGAACAACCATTTACGGTAACTGAAGAGTTGAAATAACATATGAATATGATGTGATAAATACTGTGCTGTACGTCCATGGGTTAGGCAACAGCTGTGTTTTCGGTTTTTTCCTGAATCAGCAAAACCGAAGGGTCATAAATCAATCACTTTATTTCGTGGTAGCCGTTTTCTTTCTGAAGTGCCGTTATCGGGCAGGGAGTGCTTCATTGCACCGGCCACGTTTTTGTTTTTAGGATTAAAACAAATAACAGCTGGTATACAAAGTCAATTAAATAATCGGCAGACACTTTGGCATACATTATAAAATATATCAGCCCATATATGAAGCTCACACAAATCATGTTTGAGAATACTTGCGAAAAATAACCAAATTTATTGCCGTGTCCGCTCAGGATATCTCGACTACCTTAATATAAATAATGATTGTAAAATATTTTCAATCAAAAATGTCCTCATGTTATACGTTTGGTACTTCAAGTCGGCGCTGATTTGATTCCTTTCATGTTGGCAGTAATTTAGTTGTGCCGCAAAGTGCTGTCTTCCATTACGATAAAATAGAAAATATAATCGAAAATTGTTTTAATCGAAATGTGGACAGCAGCGCTAGAATGTGTGTGCCATATACAAGAAGGTAGCGAATCGCGATATTTGAATATTAAATTTGAATTGAACATCATTGACTGTAATAGATGCGTGCGCGTGTTACGATTTGTGGAAACGGCGTATATGCGAATTTTTATAAATTCACTATTTCGAAGCTGTTATTAGGGAGTCGGCTTATCCGCGTGATAGGCGTATATTCGAGAAAATACGGTAGTTACAGCCTGTGCAATTAATTTCTAATATTCTATATATTAAATATTCTCATGTAAAAGCCTTAAACAAATTTATTTAATGTGATGGATGTGCGCATTTTGACGAATAAATAAGATTAAAACGGGGTGTCCTTGTGACACGGATATTTCATCATCAATTTCAAGAAGTCACTTCCTTTTTTCGCTTTCAATTTCAGTCAAAGCAAAATCCGTGTTCAAGGAGTCACGAAGACGCAAATGGTAAGATTATATTTTGATGGCTTTTACAAGCACTCACTCAGAAGTAAAGGAGACTGATATCTGAGCAGAGTTACGAGCACTCACTCCAAATTAAAGACTGATAACTGAGCAGAGTTACGAGCACTCACTCAGAAGTAAAAGAGACTGATATCTGAGCAGAATTACGACCGCTCAATTGATGAAAAAGAGTCATCCCTGAGCAAAGATATGGCCGACCACTGAAACAAAAACTGAAGTCTTGGAAACCCTTATCAGTGTGAATAAAATGAAGCGAACCTGTAACTGTTCTTGTTTTTCAAATTATTTGGTTCCGTTGTAAATTGCTGGTCGTTCCGCTTCAACAAGAAACAAGAATTGTTCCTGATGATCATCCATTGCAAGTTAGCAGACATCTTGGGGTCGGTTCGCTAGAATAAAAGTTCTCCATTAAAAAGAAAAACAAGACCGACTAGTAAGTAAAACTAACTAATAAAAAGTGGGGTCAAATGGGCATATAAAAGTTATTGGTGCAGACTCGATGGCAATATTTAGACTACAATTCTTTATTGTCCATTATTATCCATTCAAAGATTTTTCGCAGACTACGATTTCTCCTGCAAGTGAAGAATGTGGAGCAAAAGCCAGGCATTAAATGTTTTACCATATTTTGTGATTATTTCGATCAAATATTATTTGTGTATAACTTGATTACTTTCATGACAGGTCTTTTCCGAATATACAAAACAAGTCACTTGACCTAGTTATTTTAAATTTCCAAAAGATTACATATTTTATAAAGCCATGTCAACAATTCTATCGTCTAAGATCGACATACGTTTGATCGAGTGTCTGTGATATTTGAGTTGATAACAAACCAAAAAATGTTGCCGCATTTGGTAAAGATGAAAATTAAATTCGGCCTAATAATTGCGAGAATCACGCAAACACGTATTGAGTATTCACATATTCAGATTTTGTAAGGGAAAATGAATCTTTTGATACTACTAAGTAGATAATAACTTTATTATAAGAGTCATGCTCCCGCAAAATAAACACGCCTGACCAAATATGATAGTGGTCAAATTGAATAATTTACACCAGTAATTTATGCGAGCCTTCCAATAGCGGTACCCGATGCGGCGGCATATGCATCACGTTGGCCCTACATGTAATTAATTCTCAGCATTGACTGTCCCATCAACAATTATTATATGCTGTTCCATATCTATTTCTTGTATCCCAGTTTCTTATTTAAGTATATAATGCAAGTCTTAATTTGGCATATCAGTAGTTAGGGATTAGTATTTAAATTTCACTGTCCTAAATAAAATCCATTAAATGCTAAGACAGTAACACATTTACAATTTTGCCCAAGTTTTATTCAAGCAATGCTGGTGAGGATTTCCCACTATTTGAATAACAAAAAAATAGAATAGGATTCGATTCAAGTATTCTAGAATATCCCAGAGAAGTAATTTTTTTCTACATTGCCTATCCATACGGCAGGGATGGCCATTTCCAAATACTAAACTATTCCGAATACATTCTAAAATCGAAAATAACACATTTTTGTTTTATTAGGAGATAAGCTTCAATAGAAATATCAGAATAAAGCCACAAACCAACAGTATATGTACACAAAGTAATTGATAGTTTATAGCTATCAATAAAAAATAATAGCATCGTGTGCCACACAAATGACCATATGAAAAGATAGCCAAGGAGTTGTCTGACGCTTTCTATCATTGGTACCATGATATTACGATAATAGTCGAGTCTATTGACAAAAATAATACTTAGATAATTGTGTATATTTTCTGAGAGTAATAAAATTTATTGGCAATACAGGCAACTGAAACAAGCAACAACAATCGAAAATCCATTATGCCTTTAAAAATTCTAATATTCAAGCCTAGAGTATTCTACTACCTACCAGTATATTTGTATATTAATTTATGTGTAACATAGTGTTGTGTTTGAAATTAGAAATAAATTAGTAGAGGATAGATGATCACCACTGCCAGCCGCGCAGCCAGGATTTTCGAAATCCGAAATTCCCATTACCGCCTGTAACACCGACCGCGATTCCGCGCTTGTTAAAAGAGCCGTCTTTTCAGCGTATAATGATCATCCTATTACGTAAAATATTCAATCCATGACAACTACGAGATTTTAAAATAGCTTTATATATTAATTTAATGTGTCCAACGTAACTCGCGGCTGCTTCTTCTTACGTCAAAAAAAAACATTACTATTCGGTCCACGGCGATCTGTGACCTGAAAGTACGAGATTAAACTGCCTGATGTATTTAATTTTAATACGTATTTTTGCATTCTTGCCAAATCGTTATCGCCGTTAGAAAAATCTCAAATAATGATATAAAATCCTGTTAAGTGTAGAGTATAATTCATTTCATACAATGAATATACATATAAAGTTTAGCAGTAAATTAAAAATACATATTCATCACCGCGATTATGCCACCTGTTAAGAGTCGACTTTTACAACAAATAATATAACAGCAAATATATATTGTGCAAAGTGATGAATTCGTGACCGATACCGGCATATTTAAAATTTCTTGCTTTATTAATATAATTTTTTTCAATTTAACCTGGGGTTGCGTCAACAAATGAAATCCTCACCACTCTTTTATACCATTGCAACCCGCGGTCATAAAAATAAAAACGTGTGGTAAACTGCCCGATTAAATAATGTTTCGCGAATTCGGCAAATATTTAGATGTACTTGTTAACAGTGACTCCGCTCAATCGAAATGCTGCCACTCTTGATTATTTTTAGAACGTTTAACCGTTCGAAAAATCCATAAATCTGCTGTAACATCTCAGAGTAAAGATTATTTGATCACAATAAAATGGATTGAATATACTTTAGATTAATTATATTATATACATCCTCACAACCCAGGAAAAAGTCTCGTTTCAAACCTTGTATCATGTTAACACAAAAATATTCGACGGCAATATAAAGTAATGGATAATCAGGCAAATCCCGCCGTCAATTCGTGACGATATGTTTCTAAACGCCGACCAAACATGTGTGCAAGAGGCACACGAAATTTTCCGATTTTCACTGCCTAGAAAAGCGTTTTTTAAATTTTCGCGGGCCTCAATAAAATTCATATTGTTTACGGTTTTATTTTCAGTATTTTAAATTGCCTCTTTTCAATCAAAAAGTTGCGTTGTCTTTAGAAACTCGCCGCCGATGAACGTATTTACCAGATTCACAACTCCGTGCGCGTACAGAAATAAAATAATTGTCATTGTTATCGTGGAACAAATTTGTGGAAAATTTTCGTTTTAGAAAAAATAACACAAACGTAAAGGCGTTTACGGCCTAAATAACACGTTACGCCGATGAGTGATAAAAACAATCACGCGCAAGTTTCTATTGAGAATGTTTTCATTCAACGGAAACGGCTTGAAAGAGGCGGCGAAAATGTGTGACGTCACACAAATATCCGATATTCTTATGAACGCTAATTCCGATATTCGAATAACGAGATATTCGAATACATTCGAATACTTTATTCGAATTGGCCATCACTGCCCTACGGTCCACAGATAACACAACATATCAGTGGACGATTGTATGAAGGCTTGCTCAAATTTATGTGAAATAAACACTATTGTCTCTGAAACAAAGATTGCATACCGGTATGCTCGAAAAGTTTGCAGTAAGCTTACAGTACGGCACAGTTCTTTGAACCTAAGAGTAGCCCCAACAGAGACATCAACTATAACGGTGATAGAAAACCCCCAGTCTTGGTCTCCATACAGACACAAACTCGCTCTGCGTATTAAACAAAAAGTAAACACAACCCAAAAGCGTCAACATCAGATTCCTGAGAAAAGATAATTCGATTTACCGGAGAAACAAAACTTTACAGCGGCATTCAAGTCTTTAGCAAAAAAAATGCAATTTTGATCATGTGACGGTCGACGAATGTCAAGACTTATTTAAATTATTGAAGAGACCAACATAGCTCAAACTGAGGCATCTGCCGTTGTGCCAGACGCCCAAACTGGATTCCATGGCAAGTGCATGCCGGAGGGCGCTAACGCTCCGCAAAAATCATAGTCACTTTGGCGAAAATGCACACGAGCGAATTCAATTTTGCACGCTGAAAATTTGCAACTGCTCACCAATGTAAATCGGTTTAAATAGTTTTTAAATCAATAAACTAGTAATATAAAGATGCCAAAAAATTATAACTCCACAATTGTCGACTAATACTACCTTGCAAGATTTGGTCTGATCGAAAAACGTGAAGCAAAAAAGACCATATCATGAATGATAGGAATTCCATCGGAATAGTTATAGGCAAAAAATTAGTGACAAAGTATAGACATAATGTTTGGGGTCAAAGGTCAAACGTCCATTATTGCTCTGATATGACGTATGAAGGTCAAGCGTCCATTTTTGCTCTGATTTGACGTATTTTTTATCCGCTAATTCTACGTAAAAACACTCCCAAAATTAATGACAAAGTTTGTCCATTTTGCTCTGTTTCAACTTATAGAAATAATGTTTGGGGGTTAAAGGTCAAACGTCCATTTTTGCTATGAATCATCGAATTTTTCTCCAATACCGGTGATTTTACGCGGATGAATTGAGCAAAATGACTATAAAGTGTACCATAAAACCGCCCAACTTCGGATGAAATTTTCAATTGTTTAAATCTCGACTGAATTGAGTCATATTGTGCTTCTGGCAGTTTCTTTAGAGAGTCCTTATATATCTGAATCTGTTATCATGATCAATCGCGCAGTTTTATTTATTATCACGTTTTAGCAAAAAATTGACACTCCGTTTTAACTGCGCTAACTTCGTCAAAACACCGTCATTCGATAGAGGGCGTTACCAATGTATTACAAAATTAAACTGATCGCGAGATGTCGCAGGAGACTCGAGAAACAATTTAAATTCAAATTGTCTTTTTACATCAAAATAATAGCATCTGACGCACACATTGAACCGGCGTCACCCTGACGTCGCTTGCTTCGAAGACGACGTCATGTTGCGTCGCTGTTACAGATTTGACGCCAGACATTCGGGCGCCGACGAGTTGGCGTATATTTGAAAATAACAGCGATATTTTGTTCGGTTGGATCAATATCGGCTAAAATATACACATCAACAGTTTCCTGTGGATCTTAAATTCATGCCGTCAAATGTTGGAAATGTAATTTAATTTATTAAAACGGCAATTAACGAAAAATATTTTCGTTCGATTTGATGATTCAAATTCCACCATTTGGAACGGCAGCATGGTTTAAAATGGAAAAATTGTAAGCAGTCAAAAAATGTTGCGTAAATATAAAAATATATAATCAGCGATAAATAACAAGAATCATTGTTGCAACCATTGCAAGTGAGTTCCGTTTGATGAATTTAACTAAAGTAAATTTTGCCAAATCGGTGTTTTGTCGTGATTTATGCACGGCGGACATTTTAATAGGTCAATTTAGTAAAGAATCCAGTCATATGCATGCTCAGTAATATTTATCGTGCGACTATACAATGTGGAATATACAAACGCTATCCAAACATTATCGGCTATAGCAAAATCGGCTATGATCGGTGAATATTCGGATCTAAAGTACGATAAGAGAAAATGAAACGAGACATTTTATTATAAAAACAACTTGAAAGTGCCGCACCAAAAATCCTACGGTCATCATTATCACCGCCACTCGCGACGTGGATTGAACAACTGGCATTTTCGCAATGACGTAAAGCGTGTTTTGTCTTCGCGCACGCAATTTTCGCTCGAGTTGCGGTCACGCACGGAGGTGATTCCCCCATCCGAAGTTAGATATTCAGTGGTGTAGTGTAAAATGAGACAATCAAGACAGAAAAAATGATCCGATCGGCGAGAAAATTAAATGCATGTGCAGAGAATTGCATCAATGTAATATATTCCAAATTTGACGCGAATTGGACAACAAACGGCAGAGATATTGATTGAAGTAGAGTGAAACCATCCGAAGTTAGCCGGTTTTACGGTATATAGTCACTTTGGGATTGAGAGGTATCTAATGTCGAAGTCAGTTGCACGCGGGCGCAGTTGTTTGGCACGCCATGATCTATAATTGCACGCCGGGAATTCTTATTTGTACGCAAGAATTTCTGATTGCACGCCCGATTTCTGGTTCGAAAAGGCCATGAAATCCAGACTGGCCAGATGCCCTACTTTTGGGTCTAGTATAGTTTAGTATCACAAGTACTTCCAGTGGGCGTAGCATAACGATTTTTGCATATGTTATTCCTAACCCTCACCTGACTATGCCATCCAAAAATTACGTCACTATGACGTCACCAACACGTCATAGGGATTGCCAAAGTATAATTACGGTCACCCGAAATGGCATCTGCGCCGCCGATAAGAACTTGCTATAGCCGGCGATCTCTCTCCTATCGTGATCGTTGCGACGAGAAAACGAGAGGAATAGCTTGCTCGATTTCAGGTTATCGTCTGCGCGTTTTGGACGACCATCCTCATACTTCGGTGGGCCTTATTACGCCACTGTGACGTCGGAATGACGTAATTTTTCGGTGACGTAGTCAGGTGGGGGTTAGGATTGACATATGCAAAAATTGTTGAGCCAGGCCAACTAGAAGTGGATGTGGTACTAAACTATACCAGACCCAGACTTTCAGAGACAAATAGAGTGTTTGATTTAATAATCAAATGTTGGGAGAACTTGGAAATGGAGAACTGGGCCCTGCCAGCTTACAATCACAACACTGATTACACTGTGTGGGTCTGCATGTTTAATTCGTTGTGATGGATTATTATGTGCGGTAGGATTGCTGGATTCCTCGCCCCTGTTGGTTGATTCCTGTGAGCTTCTTTTGATATGATTTACATATTTATCCCGGGGGAGAGGAAAGCCGATAAGACAGCCTATCCATATGGCGAACCACGGCCTCTCGTCCGGTTACCATTCCAAGTCGGGTATGGGATTAGTTATATTGTTTGTTTTCGGAAGCATGGACTTGGTGGTGGAGGAAGCCGTAACCGACCAGCGGTTACGTGAACCACCCAACGACGGCGAGGAGTCCAGCAATCCTCTCGCACATAATCATCCCTGCATGGGATTCGAACCCACGCAGAGTAATTAGAGGTGCGGTGGCGAGCGTATTCCTAACGCTTAGCCCGTTGAGCCACACCTCGTGGCTAAACAGTACCGGTACCTACCATGATACCGGTAACGGTGCCAACGCAATTTAACCTAAAACAGGTTATAACACGCCTCCGTTGTACAATATTAACATAGAGTATAATGAAATGTCAGTTACATTACGTGAAAATGTATTTCTCCCCCACTAGGCGCAAAATAAACTCATAAATTATAGCTAAATCGCACAAAGCAAACTCACCTCAACTCATAAACTAGGAAAAGAAGGAATCGCTCTATAGCTCCCTCTATTGACAATCAATAGTGAACGGAGTCTTCTCGATCGCAAAACCCGGAAAGTATCTTCCAATCCTTGTCCATTAGTGGAAATTTCGTGCTTATTATGATTGTTTTAGTGAGTTGGCGTCAGTAAACCAGTTCACAAATGTTAGGAACTCCACCTAAAAATCACTGGCAAACTTGTTCTCTTGTTTATTAGTCGGCGTTCGGTGCATTCTACTAAGCGTTGGGAAAAGGTTTGGTATTGCACCTCGGCATTGGTTTGCAGGTTTGAATCTTGTAAGAAATAATTATAAGTGAAACGATTGCTCATCATCGTCGTAAGGGCCCATTCACACCAACGCAGTGCGTTGCGTTATATTTTGACGCAGATGCAACGCAATGCGCTGAACTTGTTCACACTGCGTTGCGTTGACGCATGTCAAAAGGTCATATTCCGGGTGCCCGTATTTTGGATCAGGAACTTGATAGGCATTG